GAGCAAACGCACAAACACGAGAAGGCAGAAAACTCCCAGAAACAGGACACATGGCAGTTTGACGGGACCGCAGGGTGAAGAACAGGCTGGCCTGGCTGTCTGGTGCCCCGCGACGGGCGGCCCTGCCCACTGGTGGTTAACTAGGCCCCTCTGAGCCCACCCACGTCCTCTGTGGTCGGTGCTCAGCTCATCCTTGTGGGCTTGCTGATGTTCATGGTGATGAGGTGAGAGCCTGCGTGATGCGTGCAGGCATCCCAGAGGACCTGCAACCCTGCCCAGAGCCTGCTCACCTTCCCAGCATCCGTCGGAAGGAAAGGGAAGGTCTGCAAGACGTGAGCAAAGGGTGGAGGCCGCACACACTCCCAGGAGAAAGCCCCCGTGCCACTCTGCTGCCCCACCTGCTGCCCCCACCACTCACTGTGACCTGATTTAACCTTAACACGCCCCCTCTCCCTCTGTCATGGAGAAGGGGCTCAGGAGATCAGCGTCACCCTGCAGCTAGGGCAGCCCTCTTGCCATCGCGAACAGAGAAACCTGAAGCGCTGCCGCTGCCCCAGAGGTCTGTGGGGCCCGTGGAACACCCCACTTCAGCAAGCCACCTGCCAGGCGGGGAGCTGCCTCTAACCCAGAGGCCCTGTTAGGGAGGCTCTAAGCAACCACCTCTGGGTTCTCCCCTGCCAGCCCTGGTTTCCTGTTCAACTGCTCTCTTGGGGTGCTGGTTCTGGCTCAGACCTCTGGCTCCTACATCTGGTCCCCACATTCATTGGTTCCGAGGGGAAGTGTAACAAGGAGCACGGGGGTGGCCTTCCTTCCCCTGGGCTGCTCCTCACAGGAAGGTCGAGTGCCCTCGTGCTCTATCGGAGCCTGGCCCGTCCTGACTCTCCCTTGTGTGGCTCCTCTTCCTCCTGCTTCAGAGGGAGGCGGACTCACCAGGATCACCCCGGCCACTCACCACACACATGGAAGCATGTGGAGAGTGACTACAGTGTTTGGACAGGTTCAAGTCTCGGACTAATGAGAGGGCACAGTCCTCTCGTGACAAGTCCCAGCTTGGAGGGCAGAGCCCTCCCAGCACAATTACAGTGGGGCCTTGACTTATGAGTTTAATTTGTTCCGAGACCGAGCTCGTTAAGGAGTTCGTTAAGGAGCTCGTTAACTCAAATTACTCTATCAACTCAATGCAAAAAAACAGCTGAGAGACAGCTGGTATCTCAAAAAACTCGTTAGTTGGGAAGGCCCCACTGTATAGTCAACAGCTATAGTGTAAGCTTGAACCTATGGTCCGAACACGTGGCCCCATGTGTCTGAGTGATGTGGGCTTGATAGAGTTCAGGTGCATGTAGTTGAGTGGGATTGAAACCCACGAGAATGTTGTAAACATCTTGACCACACCCTTACTTTGCCTCGTGGAATCTGGCTATAAAATAAAGACACGGCTTGTAGTCCTTGGTGCTGTCGCTGTCCACCAGAGAGGACAGCGTCCCACCCAGACACAGCTTTTTTCTCTTGTCCGTCTTTTCTCCATCCTTCACCGCCCCCTCTCAGGGTCACTGAACCTGAGCTGGCGCGGCACATAAGGCGCCCTGGGGCTGAGTATGCCATGGCCGTGCTCCTCTTCTCCCGCTGGCCACGGGTTTGACATGCTTGAGCTAGAGGGTCTAGGCCAGTGATGGCGAACCTTTTGAGCTCGGCGTGTCAGCATTTTGAAAAACCCTAACAACTCTGGTGCCGTGTCACATATAGAAATTTTTGATATTTGCAACCATAGTAAAACAAAGACTTAAATTTTTGATACTTATTTTATATATTTAAATGCCATTTAACAAAGAAAAATCAACCAAAAAAATGAGTTCGCGTGTCACCTCTGACACGCGTGTCATAGGTTCGCCATCACTGCCCTAGACCCTCCCGGTTCTGCCTCAAGGTCTTTGCTAAGAGCCTGGCAGTGAAGACCTCTTAAGATGAGAGAAGCTGCCTGGGTCCCCTCCCTTCTGGAGGAAACTGACTCAGAGCATCTTAGGGGACACAGAAATACCAGATGCTGAGAATATAGTTGGGGATTAAGCTGTGGACGTTATGAAGTCCAGCCTTTCCCTTCCAGGTTTCCTGTCCTGTTTGCCTGGTGGGAGAGGACCACACCCCATTCAGTGCTGGAAGACAATCCGCAGGCCTGCCAATGGGGAGCCTGAGGGGCCAGAGAAGAGTCTTTGTGAAAACAGCAGCCAAGTCTCAGAGGCCCAGGGATGAAGGGAGCACTCCCCGCTGGACAAACCGGAGGCTGGCCTCAGAGTGTCCCTCCCGCCCTCCCCACCCCAGGTGCTCTGGGAGGCTCGCTCTTCTATCCTGTCGGGTTCTGCTAGGCCTGTTGTTACTGGCCAGCCAGAGGGCGTTTGCTGAGTCCTCCAGGAGCTGGCTAAAGGCTAACAGCCTTCATTTCCAGGAAAAAGAAGGGGAGTGGGTAGGAGAGAAAATGGGCCTTAGAGAGGTGCGTTTGGAGAAGGGCAAGAGCGTGCCTCTGGCGAAGCAGGACCAGAGCCCTGCAAGGTGGGAGTGAAATAGACAGAAGTGGAAAGCTGGCCCAGCCTGGCCGGGAGGGAGGCCCACGAAGGCGGTGGGCAGCGGGCTGTGCTCCTTGAAAGGATGGACGATGGACAGACTGCAGCCAGAGTCCTGCAGTAAATTGCCACCTTTGCCTGGCTTAGCTCAAGCTGCGCTCTGGAGCCATGCTGTGTGCTTGGACTTGGCACCAGCCAGCGCTCTGCTCCAGGCCCTGAGGCCTGGGGGTCATCAGTTCTGGGGAACCCAGATGAGCAGCCCTGAGCCAAGGCGGGGACAGGGACGAAAATGGCTGCATCCAGGAGAGGGTGAGTCTCCCACTACAGTTCACATGTGCACCCAAGTGTTTATTTCTACCTGGGTGAGTTCAGCTTCTGATCACACAAATGGCGGGGCTTTCCATTGGTTTCCATGGAAACATTAGGCAGAGCATCTGCTGCCTGATCAAACAAGGCTAGGCTGGTAGGATTCTTTCCGCAATTATTTTACTGTTTCTACCCAGGAAATGGTCCCACCTGCCTTTTTACCGCTGCCTTCTTGTGTGGCGGGGGCGAAGGGCAGTTCAGAGGGGCCGGGGCTGGTGCTCAGGGAAGGAGAGGGCTGGCACAAGGCAGCATGTGGAGAAGCCCCTTGGGTTCCCATTCAAAGCCCCAAGCAGTGTCTCTCAGTGAGGCCCCAGGAGCCTGGGCTCTGGTCCCAGCCTGCCCCACCAGCAGGGCCACCCGCTGGCTCCCCCCAGAACAGCCTGTCGTCCAGGAGTCCCTGGGGTACGACGGGCAGGTAGGCCGAGAAGCAAGCTCTCAGGTGCAGGAGGGGGTGAGACTTGAATAGAGGCCCCAACTTCACTCCTGCAGGGGAGGGTGGCGCGGAGGGGCCGGACTCCGGAGTCAGGAAGGCGCTGGTGCACGTGTCGGTGTGAGAAGTGGTTTTATTCCAGGCGTGTGTTTCATAAAGACGAGGTCCTCAAGGACCGTGAGTGGCACATGCTTTGGTCAAGAAGAGGAAAAGCAAAAACAGAACAGGGCTGAGGCCCACAGATGGTGGCTGACAAGTGCCGAGCCTGGGCTGGCAGGGAAGGAGGGGCCTTTCTGAGCCGCTCTGAGCTGCAGTCCTCTTACATCCAAGAGAAGCCCTCGCTCCCCGGCCCCAAAGGTCCACACTGCCCGCCAGGGTGAGCACGCACCACGGAGATGGTGGTGGACGGAACACCACAGCAGAGGAAGGGAGAGGTGCGGCCCCTACGCTGTGACCACGGGGTGCACGCGGGGGCACAGGAACACTGCCGAGCGGATGCCAGTGAGAGCCAGGAGGTGAGGAAACCATTGAGAACCCTCCGGGTGGGTCCTGCCCCAAGGGCTGCAGGGAGGGAGCAGGCGACAGCAGCTCAGGCGCACCAGGGAGAGATGGGCATGGCAGCTCCAGTCCAGAGCAGAGGCTCGGACCCTTTAGGGGTCAAGGGCCTCTATAAGAAGTTGGGGAAGCCCATGGACGCGCTCCTCGGGAAACTGCGTCTATGCACACACATGCACGATTTGGGGGACAATTTCAGGAGATTCCTAGGCCCTCTGGAATCCAGAGCTCCCGAGGCTGGTCTCAGGCTGGTTTGCTTTGGGAGGGGGACCCCAGGGTCCTGGCACCACCAGTCTTTTGCCCAAGATCACACTGCCTGAGCCGTTGGGGCGGGAGAAGAGGAGCACGGGGAATAACAGAAGTGGTTCCGAGACCAGGCCAGGGGTGGGGGCAAGGCCCAGTGGCTGTGAGAAGTACCAGGGACCTCTCTACACAGTCGGGAGTCACCAGCCAGCCTTCTGCCCGCTGCAGTGACCTTCTGGGGCCTCCCTCCTGAAGTGTGTGTGTGTGTGTGTGTGTGTGTGTGTGTGTGTGTATGTGTGGGCAGGGGGAGCATGAAGCTGGGCCTGGAGTCAGAAAGACTTTCTCCCTAATGACGTAGGGAGCGTTGATGCTCCAGATGGAGGTCCCGTTCTTACGCCCCCCCGCCCCCCCATTCCATCATGCTCTGTTTACAAAGGCAAAGGCTTTGGAGAAGGCAGCGTCACTGCGAACGCGGACGGGGCAGCTCAGTGGTGCATGGCATGGTGGCTGCCTGTCCTTACGGGGTCTTCGTGGTGGGCCCAGACAAGGGGCACAGGGCGCCAGCGGGTCAGTAAGGCCCAGAGGGCGACGTCTTGTCCTGACAATGACCAAACAGAAGTGGGATCTGTGTAATACAGTGTCCCAAGCCTGCCCCTGAAGATCGCCCCGCAGCCTCTTCCTAAGAAGTGGGGACCGGAGCACAGGATGGAGGCGGGCACCGTGCCCCGGGGGCTGGTGCGGCCTGGGAGGTTGGGTGCCCGGGAAGAGACCCTCTCTTTGGGTGCTGTGCCGCTTTCCTGTCCACGTCCTTCCGCAAATCACCCATCCTCTGCTCCCGACCCCCTCCCTCCCACACCCAGCCCAGCACCTGCCGGGGACAGGCCACTGAGCTACTCACTTCCCTCTGGTTCTCCACCCACGCTGCAGGCTGCCCCTCTCCTCCCAGCCTCAGTTTCTCCATCCATGCCACCTACATCCTCTTCCCATGATCCCACAAGCAGGGCCTGTGACACAGTGGGGACCCTAGGTGGGCTTCTGTCCTTGATCTACCCAGACGACGACGGGAGGGCACCCAACCCACTGCCCAGGCCCCCAGGAAGGAGAAGGGAGGGGACAAAGATGTGAGGGCACCTGCCCAGTCTCTACCCAGCAGCAGTCCAGCACCCTGGCCTTCTTCTCTCCCGGGGTGAGGGCGGGTCGGCAGCCTGGGCACCGAGGCACGCCCCCATGCCCGCCCTGTGCAAGCTCTGGAGAATGGTGTCTCATGGCAGGGGTGTTTGCTGATGGTTCCGGCAGAAATGTGAGGAGATGGGAACGGCCCGCTTTACACTCCCCCACCCTAACCCCTTCCAGTCCCAAAGTCTCATGCAGAAGGTACAGGAGGCCCCGGGCTGCCATCATGTGTGCGGCTGCGGCAACAGCTGCCACTGCTGGGCGGGAGCGTCAGCCTGGCACTTGCTGGTCACCAGCTGGGTGGGCTGGGCCTCCAGGCAGAGGCCGCTGACCGAGTGCTGGATGAAAGAGGCTTTTCTCCTCCATCTCTGGGGGGAGAAGCAGGGAAGGCGGAGAAGGAGAAAACAGTGATTAACAGTGAGAACAGTGCTCACACCTTCATTGCACATGCATATGCCTAGGACACCCCTGCCCCCCGTTTAAACACCCCTTGTGTCCCTTTCATAAGGGGCCCCCTCTGCACACAAGCTTTGAGCCGAGCCTCCCAATGCATGCTTGTTCTGTAGTTTGGCACGAAGTCAGTGTCTGGATCAGAGGCGCATGGGCTGCATCTAACCCAGAGATGTATTTTGTTTGGCCTGCACAGCGTTAATTTAAAAGTTGGCTTAGTTGCCACAGAAGGATCTGCGTTTCCAGCTTCCCTTCATGGCTGCCTGGGGCTGCGGGAGCTGCTCGGCTGTAACTGGACCGTGACCTCAGTTCACCTGAGCCCCGCCCCGGCTTCCCCACTGCTCCCTGGGGACACTTGAGCTTGAGTTCCTGGACCAGGTGAATCTTTGACTCCTTCGGACGAGATTTCTTCTTCCTGCAGCTCTAAGCTTTGCCTTGGCCTATGACTGTGCAGCCGGGACCTACACCCGTTCGTGGGAACTGGCCGCCATCTCCGCAGAGAGGAAGAGTGAGGCCAGCGGGATGGAGGGGGCCCCTGAGTCCCCTTAAGAGTCATGAAAGGCCTCCCGGGTCAGTGCCTTCCCCTCCTGGGGCCTCCTCTGACCCAGGCTTGACAAGGGGAAGGAGAGCTGTTCACGTAGAACATTTTGGAAGTGCCTGGATGGAGGACGAAGTGTGGCTGGCAGGACAAGTTGGAAGTCACTCTGCATCTGTGTCCCCAGTAGCCAGCAGTCAAGAAATCCTTACTGAGCATCGACTATGCGCTGGGCTAAGACTGTGGGCTAGGCATCACCCTTACCCGGGTTTCAATCAGAGCTCCACCCCATCCCCAGCTGAGTGAGCTAACACTGATCTCTCCAATTTAGGAAGCCTCGGTCTTGTCCCCTAAAAATGGGCAGTGCTAGAGCCTTCGTCGGGGGTTGCTGGGAGGATTAGATGGGATGACCCATGTAGAACTCCTAGCAGAGCTCTCAGTAAAAGCGAACCTTTATTTTGGCGGTGGGGTTGTCAGAGGCCAGGGACAGTGCTGCCAGAGTCTCTGCCCTCATTCAGCTCCCAGCGGGCAGGGCAGACATTTAACAAATACTTGCCTGAAGAACTTCCTCATGAGTAAGATCATGGACTTGACTCAGATAACGACTGAGGCCTGCACAGGTCCTCATTCCGGAGGGTTTATTGGAGTCTATATGTCTCAGCCTGGGGCTCCCCTGCAAGAGGCTGCCACCCCCATGGCCTGTCCCCCTGCACATGCTGGCCATCCTGAGCCCAGGGACAAGGAGGCTTACCTGTTTGCCTTCTCTCGGGTTGCACGTCTGTAGTCCGACCGGGGACCCAGGGGAGATGGAGGCGGAGGTGGAGGTGGCTGTCAGGCACTTCCCCTGCTGCTGGATGAGGTGGTCACTGAACAGCCATGCCTGCAAGACAGGGACCAGGAAGGCTGAGTCAAAAGTACAGCGATGGAGCCCTAGCTGGTTTGGCTCGGTGGGGATAGAGCATCGGCCTGTGGACTGAAGGGTCCCGGGTTCAATTCTGGTCAAGGGCACATGCCTCTCCCTCTCCCTTCCTCTCTGAAATCAATAAAAAATACATATTTTTTAAAAAGTACAGTGATGGATGCGCAGGTTGGTTATGTGATATAGCAAATATACTGTATATTGTGGTAGAGTTTTCTAATAGGGGTGGGCGTATGGGTATTCACTGTACAATTCTCTTAACTTTTCTATACGTTTGAAATTTTTCATAATAAAATATGAGGGGAGCTTGGCTGGAGCTGGCCAGAGGGCCATGGAGAACGACAGGGCATGGGACCGGGGCAGCCATGATGGGGGCTCCGTGACCTGCTCTGGTTTTGACCTGGGTGCATCGGCATTCATATTTTGCACACATGCCCTGCTCCCGCCATAAAAGCTGACCATAGCTGCGTCCCAGGAGAGAACTGGGCGCTGTTTGGGCAGCACTTCTCCCTCTGTAAGGGTACAGCGGGCGGGGCACGGAGGGCAACTGTGTCACAGGCTGGAAAGGAGCAGACAGACGCAAGGAGCAGAGTGGGAGGACGGCTGGCAGGGTCCCTGGGAAAGTGGGTTTGTGGAGGGTGTAGGCAGAGAGGAAGAGCATGAGCGGAGGAAAGCCACTCACCCCACTCTGGGTCCTAAGCAACTTACCTGGGGTGCTGGCGGGTTCTTGGCAGACCCCCTGCAGGTCCCCACTCCAAGCAGGAAGTTACCAGCTGTGTCCTGGCCCTGGGATTCCAGGCAATTAACTCCTTGCTTAATGATGCTGGGGAGCACTTCCTTCACTGGGACCCTGAGAAAAGGCAGGGCCAGGCTTGTTTCCTGCCCTCCTCAGGGCTTACCCACGCTTGCCCAGAGGGCAGCCCCTGAGCTCCTGGGGCACAGAGGTGTCAGGGGAGAGGGGCACCAGGCGGGGGGACAGACCTAGCTGGCAAGGAGGGGAGAAGGGAGAAGGGATTCCTCGGGGTGGAACGGGGCCTGGGCCCCATTGGGTTCTGGGTAGCGCCAGGAGCCCAGGGACTGCCTGGAGGCTAGATCTCCCGAGCCTTGTCCAAAGAGAGCTTAGGCCAGAAACCCAGGCCTCCCCCCTTACAAAAGAGGAGAACCC